ATGTATTTGGAACCAAAGCTGACCTAAATAGTGAGGATTAAGCTGCAAAGATGAACTTCTGTACTTGCTAGTGCTACCCTGATCTCCAGCATCAAACAAATTGCCCCGATACAAGCCATTGACACTTTGAGTAGACTATAGATCTAACAGTACTTCAAGCCTACTCTCTGTCTTAATATGTAGAAGTGGGATTTGGAGAAAGGAAGAAAAGTGTACCTAACTGATACAGACAAAAGCAACTATACATGTTCCTTCCATTAAGCAACCTTCAGTTGTTCTTCAAATTCTGCCTCATCTCCTCAATTTCCAAAAGGGTCTCCTAGATTGATCCTAGAATCTGTAATGTCTTTGGGCTTCACATAGTCATTAATTCCTTACTGAAGTTTCTGCATTTTATTTTTATGATTGCATTAATACAACCATCACTACATGGTGGTAGATGTGAATTTGGGAAGTTTTATATTGTCATCCAAACAGCTTTACCTTTTGATGATTATAGTGGTATAAGAATGTTAATACTGAGATTTATCTTGATTAAGGAAAATACCAAGGTAAGGGGTCCAGGAGACATTATTAATTAACTTTTCTACATAAATGGAAGCTACGAACAAAGCTGTTTTCCATTGCATTTACTTAACGGTTCTATAAAGAAAGCTGAACCCACTGTCCCTACTTAGTAAATTGGGGATAATGATACACTTAAATCATTTTACTAATTGTTGATCTTTCAGAACCTCTGACCATCATTTTTGTCATTCATTCTTAATGGTCATAAATGTAAATGAACATGAAGAGGAGAGAAAGAATAAGACTGAAAGCATTCTGACCCCAAGGTGACCACAGAGAATTGTTTTCTTGACTGAACTCTTTCCACTGACATTTACATCTTTCATGAAAGAACAAAATGAATCAAAACACAACTTTTTTGAAAAAGAAACAACAGGTAATTGGAAGTTCTGTGTAACTGGATCATCCTTAATGATGGTTGGGGGTGGCTGCTCACATTCAAAGTATTTTTGACAATTCCCATCAAATTGAGCTCTCTTGTACATCATGTGCAAGATTGTTCCTAATATTCAATTGCTAACCACGGGCTTTGAGCAATTTCCGCAGGGTGAGTAAAGGTTACACTGACCTACTCGTTCTTTTCTCTGGTTGTTTTTGGAAACAAGGGCAATAATTTGTGATGCATTTGCTTAAGAGCTTGTTTTTAGTCACACTAAGAACCCTATCTCTCAGAGCTAGAGCTCTGTCTACCACTAAGTGAGTGACCTATGTGAGGGTAGAAACTGTCATCTCAGAAATGGATCATAAGCCTGTAGACTTAATGGAGCAGGAGAGAGAAAGAAAGAGAGGGAGGGATGGAAAGAGAGACAGGGAACAATCGAGAGAGAACAAGAGACACTGGGGGGATTCTTTCACCCGTCTGATCTTCCTATCTTGGGAAAGACATGCATATCTGTGCACTTGCTGAAGCTAGATCTTGAGTTGCACCCTCATTTCCTTCTTGTACTTCATGCCTGCTCCTAATATATTTGCAGTCCATTTTATTTATAAATTAACTGTTATTAAAGTACATTTAAAGAAGTGCAAGGATATCTTGATGGTATTGTTTAAAAGCCCTAAAGTTGACTCATCTTACCCCAGTCCAGCGTGTGCTTACCTACCATTTCTTGCTTCGACTAGCACATCAGTTTCTTTCCTGTTTCTCAACTCCCATTCCGATTTTCTCATTTCTGACTATTCCTTATACATCTGATCTTAGCATAAAACATAATGTCCACCCCAGTTGTTACTTTTTTAATCATGTCACAAAACTAAGTCATCCTTTTCCTGCATATTATGTTTTGTGTCAAGGTCCTATATGTCTCCCTCAAAACACTTTTCAGAATAACAGCTTTATACCTAATTGTCAGAATTTCATCTATTTAATGCAGTGTTTCTTAACTGGTGGGTCTCCATCCCTTTTGCAAACCCCTCTCTCCAAAAATATTTGCATTATGATTCATAACAGAAGCAAAATTAGAGTTGTAAAGTATCAATAAAAATATGAGGAACTGTATTAAAGGGTAGCATCAATAGGAAGGTTGAGAACCACTTGGATAAAGCCTACTTTTACCACTTAATTATAACCTTGATAAACACTTGAGCCATGTCCTCTTTTCTTATGGTTTCATTCCTAGTGCCTACCAGTTCAGTAATATGACACATAGTATGTGTCCAAAGATGTGTTGTAAGAGAATCAAACAGTGAGGACTTCTGACCATCTCTTTGGCATCTATATTAATTTATCTTCAATGCAATAAAATTTAGGAAACAAAGCTATGAGCCTTTTTGAGTTTGGACACACTAAAGAAGATGCTTGTAAGCCAAAGGAAAAAATCAAGTTTATTCCATTACTAATTAATGAGACTTAGGATTGAATGATAAAAAATCCAATGATGTTAATGTTGATTCTGAATGCAGGCTAGCAGTCTCGGAAGATAAAGTAAAATGGTAAGAGGACACTGCCGTTTAATTCCCCAATTAGGAAGCAGCTGTCACCTCCAAGGACAACCTTAGCTGCTGATTGATTTTCTTTGTACACTGTAATCACTGTCGATGCTACCTCAAGCAGTTCCAGTATCTTATAATCCACTAGTATAGGTGGATCTTCCTTAACACAAGCCCAATATACTAACATCTGGATTGGTGCAAAGGATTAATTGTGAAAAATTCCTTCCTATATCAGAAGCATCCTTAATAAGATTCCTTTGAAATAATCAGCTTGTTGAGAACAGTTAAATAAAGATTTCACATGAAAAAACTGTGATTTATCTGTAACTTTTTCAGGAAACATCATCGTTACCCAAAACAAAGCAAAAAAGATGGCTGCTCCCTATTTCTCAGTCACAGAGTGAGACTTCACCTTCCAACACTGATGGAACCAGTCCTTTACCTCTGGTTTCATACCTTCTCCTCATTTGTGTCACAACAGAGACTAATTTCTAATCCTATCACAGACCCAGACTAAGATCAGACAGCCACTTCACAAATATATGCCTCTGAGCATCACAGCAGGGTAAATGGGGAAGGGGAAGCTGTATCCATGACTCACTGCTAACCCATCCCTGCTGCTAGGGGGCGGGGGAAGAAACCTCTTAAATGCACATCCTACTGCTTGTGAGTCATGAATGTCATTTCATTTATGAAGGATGGAACATTATTTCTCTCTAACATTTCAAGTGAATAACTTTACATATATTTTCCCCCAATTTCCATAGGAATTTGATGCCATGGAAGGAATCAGCTACACAGCTACAAAGCCTGGCAGAAAGTCTTATTTTTCTTATAGGTAATTTAAGATCAATAAGTCTGAATTCCCCTCCTCTATTCACTGATGCCAGTGAAATCTACCCTGATTTGGGGATGGAGGAGTTCATCAAGGAAGGGTTGTCTGCATTACTGTTATTTTAAGAATTGGGACTCCCGTTGCTATTGAATCTTAAATACTGTTTAAGAAGTTCAAGTAATACCAAGTTAAGGGAAGCTACATGTATTGTGGTCGAGTAGCTTGGTGTTCTTGTGGGATTCCTAAAAGTGGGAGCAGTGGTTGTCTCTGACTCTTTGCCTCCTCTTATGGGGCTCTTTTCCTCCTACTGGGTGTTCCTGTCCAGCCTTCATTTGACAGTACATACCTGGTCATTTTTTTGCCTTCCTGAGACTGATTTATTTTGCTTAACCTGCAAATCTCAACCCATTTTTTTGCAAGTGGCATGAATGCATTCTTTATTTTCCTGGCATACTTAAGTTTATATTGACATTTGATTAATATCATTACAAAAGTAACAGAGTTTACAGTACAGCATTGTCCAAATCACATTAGAAAAGTATTTTTTCCTTAGCACATAAGAAAATGTTATTGTAGCTTGCTAAGCCATGTCTGGTGGATGTTCCAGCAAGGCCTGCTCTTTTCTAATGGAGGCAGGGGGTGGATCTGGGAGACAGCATGGGAGAAGAGACTGGGGGAGGGGAGGGAGAGCAAACTGCAATCATAATGTATGTAATATATGAGAAAAATAAAATGAAAATAATAAGGTGTTTAAAGATATATATTGTATCTTGTCATAAAACTACATATCAATAGAAAAATCAACAGGAAAGGAAAAACATGTGGATTTCAGATGCTTGAAATTCTTTGTGTTCTTTAGTGATATATATCAACATGTGATATATTTTAAAGTCAATCGTCAATGTTGAAATTGCTTAGATTATCATAAAATAAGATGTAGTAAATGATGTAGAGGACAAAAGGAAGCTTCTGCTCAATGTCACCATTATATAGTGTTTACTTCCTATTGTGAGACTCTCAAAGATAGATTCATTACCAGATATGTCAAAGAAAAAAGTGGAAAAATATTAGAATCACTCTCTCGTAAGGAATCCTTAACTTGGGATCCCCTTCCAACCATTATGGTTTGGATGAGAAGTGTCCCCCATAAACTTGTGTTTCAACACTCAGTTCCTAGATCATGACACTGTGTGGGGAGGTTTTAGAACCTTTAGTAAGTGGAGTCCCATGGGAGAAAGTGGGCACTTTAAGCAGACCTTCCATTTTATGATGTAGCCCTCGGTTCCTGTTGCATTTCTGCTTCCTAGTCCACTGAGATGTGAGGAGGACAGGTATCCCAGCCATATGTTCATGCCACCATAGGGTAGCCTGCTGCTATGCTTTCTCCATCACAAAAGACTGCATCTTTCAAGCTGTGGGCCAAAATAAGCCTCTCCTCCTTTTGGTTACTTGTCAATTATTTCATCAAAGAAAGGAAAAAATGAAGGAACAAAGCAGCTACTAGGTAAGTACCCCTAGTGGAAGATGTGCAAAGTATTTTATAGGGAAGAAGAGGCAGCCCTTTAGTTTATATGCTGGACAGTATTTCTGGTCCTCTTGCTCCCTTCCAGTAGTGTTTGATCTTTTACCACTTGCTTATTCTTCTCCTCAGATCTTTAACCTGAATCTAATAAAAATGGGTAATCTGACTATGATCAAAGAATTTCTCCTTCTTGGATTTGGAAGCCTCCATGGATCACAGTTTTTCCTTTTTGGAACATTTCTTGGAATCTATATAATGACCTTACTGGGGAATATTCTCATTCTTATAGTAACTTCCATTGACCGAAATCTCCAAACTCCCATGTACTTCTTCCTGTCCAATTTCTCCTTCCTTGAAATCTGGTATACAACCTCCATTGCTCCTAAGATGCTGAAGACCCTTCTCTCTGGTCCAGAGGCAATTTCTTTTGCAGGATGTGTGGCTCAGTTTTATTTCTTTGGCTCCATGGCAGTAGTTGAGTGCTTTCTCTTGGCAGCCATGTCTTATGACCGATACCTTGCTATCTGCAGTCCACTTCGGTACCCATCTCTCATGAACCTCCACACATGTATCTTGCTTGCAGGTGGATCCTGGCTGGGAGGATTTATAACTCCTGTTGTCACTGTCACTATGACTTTCCAACTGCAGTTCTGTGCATCCAATGAGATTGATCATTTCTTTTGTGACCTTGCCCCTGTGCTGAATCTAGCTTGTTCTGATCCAAAGGATGTAGAAAAAACTACTTTTCTCATGGCATCTTTTGTCACCATGGTGCCCTTCCTGCTTACCGTTGCCTCCTACATAAACATAGTGATTGCTGTCCTCAGGATACCATCAGCTGCAGGAAAACAACGAGCCTTTTCCACATGCTCCTCCCACCTCATCGTGGTCACTCTGTACTATGGAACTCTGGGAACAGTGTATGCTATCCCCACGGCTACTCAGGCTACTGCCCTAAACAAAGTCTTCTCACTGCTCTACACTGTAGTAACCCCCATGGTCAACCCCATTGTGTACAGCCTGAGAAACAAGGATGTTAAAAGGGCAGTGCAGAGACTGCCGAGTGAGTGGAAGTGTGCCATGAAGACCTAATGGCTTTCTCCTCTAAGGGGCTCAGATACTTGATTGACAACTTAGCATTTCAAGCAACTGTTGTTCCCTTCTTCCAGTAAATCACTAGCAGGGACCCTTTCTCCAGTTTCTACAGTCTAATGTTTCAGGTGAATGCCTAAAGAGAAAGAATAAATTTATGAAGACAGATGTAACTCTACCAGGATATGCAATCACATATTGGTTCATTTATGTGGAAATTAGAAATACCAAACACTGTCATTCATAAGAACCAAGATACAAGCCGGGCATTGGTGGCGCACATCTTTAATCCCAGCACTTGGGAGGTATAAGCAGGCAGATCTTTATGAGTTCAAGACCAATAAGGTCTACAAGAGCTAGTTCCAGGACAGCCTCCAAAGCCACAGAGAAGAAACCTTGTCTCAAAAAAACAAAAAATGGCTAAAATCAAAAACACGAAAGACAATTTATGCTGGAGAGGATGTGGAGAGAAGGGAACACTCCTCCACTGTTGGTGGGAGTGCCGACTCATACAGCCACTTTGGAAATCAGTATGGAGATTCCTCAGGAAAATGGGAATCAATCTACCACAAGACCCAGCAATTCCATTCTTAGGCATATATCCAAAAGATGCAAATTCATACAACAAGGGCATCTGCTCCACTATGTTCATAACAGCATTATTTGTAATAGCCAGAACCTGGAAGCAACCTAGATGCTCTTCTACTGAAGAGTGGATAGAGGAACTGTGATACATTTACACAGTGGAGTATTACTCAGCAGAAAAAAACAATGGAATTTTGAAATTTGTAGGTAAATCAATGGCACTAGAAGAAACCATCCTGAGTGAGGTAACCCAGTCACAAAAAGACAAACATGGTATGTACTCACTCATATATGGATTTTAGACATGGATCAGGATAGTGCCAGTCTGCACTACCACTGACAGAGAGTCTGGGAAACAGGAAAGAACCTAAGAGATATGCATGGTACCCCAGAGAAGAGGAATGAAGCAAGATCTTCTAAACAGATGGGGAACATGGCGAGGGGGGGGGGAGTGGGAGCTGGGAAGAAGAGAGGGAGAGAAGAGGAAGAGAGAGTAGTTCATGGGGGAAGAGGAAGGTTGAGTGGGGGCTACAATAGGGGAAAGAGGGAATCATGGGTTAGAAGACAGATCAGGCACCAGTGACCTCTAGTGATCTAAAGGGATGACACCAACTGGCAAGCTAAGCAATAGTGGAGAGACCACCTCGAATGCTCATTCCTGATAATGAAATTGATGTCCATAACCATCCTGGAGCCTTGATCCAGTGACTGATGGAAGCAGAGGCAAACACCCACAGTTAAACACTGAACTGAACACATGGAACCCAGTGACAGAGAGAGAGGAGCGATGGGCAAATTGGCAAAGAATGGGCTGGCAAAACCAGCAGAGACAGCTGATCTGAACAGGGGAGAGCTCTTGGACTCCAGACCAACAGCTAGGAGGCCAGCATGGGACTGATCCAGACCCCCTGAATGTGAGAGTCAGTGAGGAGGCCTGGGCAACCTATGGGGCCCTGGGAAGTGGATCAGTGTTTATCCCTGGCATACAAACAGACATCGTGTGTCCATACCACAAAGAGGGATGCCCTCTCAGCCTGAACTCTTAGGGGAGTGCCTGGACCCTACCCAGAGTAAAATGACAGACTCTAGATATCCCCTATGTGGAAGGAATTGGCAATAGGGTGGGAGGGTGGGGGGGAAGGGGAGTGTGGGAGGAGGGGAGGGAGAGGGAACTGGGATTGACATGTAAAACAAGCTATTTAAAATTAAAATAATAAAAATAAAATATTAAAAAATAAAAAAGAACCAAGATATAAAATCAACCTAAGTATCTATCTGCTGATAAATAAAGAAAATATAATATTCACTCATACACATATGTCTATACATATACAGGTATGACACACACACACAAATTTTCTCTCTTAAGAAAGCTAAATTCATGTTATTCACAAGAAAATGGATGGACTTGGCTGGAGATCATCATGTATGTAAAATAAACAAGACTCAGAAAGATAACACATTTTTTCTCCCATATTGAATCTAGTTTTTAAAATGACATAAAATAGAAGAGAGTGCTAGGGAGAAAGCCGGGTTCAAAGGGAACAGGGGTGAGAGAGTAAGGAATAAAGATAATCAAGTCATATATACATATATATGTAAATGTAGATGTCATAATCAAATTTGTTATTGTGTGCAATTTATATATGTCAACCATTAAAAAGACCCAGGTTGCAAGACTAGCTTCATTCCATAAGAACTTTTTCCTTTGTCACTTTCTTTTTCTGTGTTTGAGAGAAGTTGATAGAATTATCTGTTAGTACTGAGTTTTCTCAGTTATGTAACCTACCCATGACCATTTGTAACCACATGCAAATGTCTCCGAGAATCTCTTCCTGCTTCACATATCTACACAATCATAGTGCTATATTGATTGCACTTCATCCTCCAGGACTGCCTACTAGCTCCCCTTAACTTCTGCTTTTAGCAAGGTCATTCACTATATCTCACCTTGAATTGTATTCATATTCCACCTGTTGTAGCTCACTTTATCTTGTTCCTTTAGATTACCTGCCTTTCTACTGATGAAAACCATTTCTAAAATGCTAGAACAACTATTGACTAGTTCACTCACTTGGACAGTTAATCAAATCCCTCAAAGACTGGAACAACATTGTCCTTATGTTTTTAAAATAAATAAAATAGCCTTGTGGTGGTGGTGCATGCCTTTAATCCCAGCACTCGAGAGGCAGAGGTAGGTGGATCTCCGTGAGTTCAAGGCCAGCCTGGTCTACAAAGAGAGTTCCAGGACAGCCTCCATAGCTACAGAGAAACTCTGTCTCAAAAAAAATAATAATTTTTTGAAGCTTGCTAATCTTTTAATTATACGGAGGGTTACTAGGTTATAATTTGGTTTTTTTATTTTTAACCTGATTTTCTAATTTAAATTAGAAACAAGCTTGTTTCACATATCAATCCCAGATGCCTCTCACTCCCCTTCATCCCTGCCACCCAACTTTTCCAATCTCCCACCCAAACCCAACTCCACTCTCCAGGAAGAGTGAGGCCCTTCATGGGGGATCTCCAAAGTCTGTCCAGGCTGAGAGAGCACCCCTCCAAGTGGTATGGGCTCCCAAAGTCAACTTGGATGACAGGGATAAATACTGATCTACTGCCCGAGGCTCCAACAAAGGCCGAGACCTCCTCACTGACACCCACGTTCAGGGGGTCTGGATCAGTCCCATGCTGGCCTCTCAGCTATCAGTCTGGGGTCCAGATCAGCTGTTTCTGTGGGTTTTACCAGCTTGGTCTTGACCCCTTTGCTCAACACTCCTCTCTGTAACTGGATTCCAGGAGTTCAGTTCAGTGTTTAGCTGTGGGTGTCTGCCTCTGCTTCCATCAGCCACTGGATGGAGGCTCTAGGATGGCATACAAGGTAGTCATCAGTCACATTATCGGGGAAAGGCATTTAAGTAGCAGCCTCTCCACTATTTGTTAGATTGCCAGTTAGTGTCATGGTTGTAGATCTCTGGACATCTCACTAGTGCCATATCTCCCGTCAAGCCTATAGTGGATCCCTCTATTATGATATCTTTCACCCTACTCTCTTCTATTCTTCTCCCGACTCAACCTTCTTGCTCTGCCATGTACTCTTATACCCTCCTCTTCTCCCCCTCTCCTTCTTCCATCTTCCTCTCACCACCCGCCATGCTCCCAGTCCACTCAGGAGATCATGTCCTGTTCCCCTTCTCTGGAGTAGCTTGCATATCTCTCTTAAGGTCCTCTCTGTATCCCAGAATCTCTGGTGGTGGGATTTTAGGCTGGCACTCCCCTGTTTCATATACGAGTGAGTACATACTATGTTTGTCTTTCTGTGACTGGGTTACCTCACTCAGGATGGTTTCTTCTAGTGCCATTCATTTGCCTGCAAATTTCAGTATCCCATTCTTTTTTTCCGCTGAGTAGTACTCCACTGGGTAAATGTATCACATTTTCTCTATCCACTCTTCAGTTGAGGAACATCTAGGTTGCTTCCAGGTTCTGGCTATTACAAATAATGCTGCTACGAACATAGTGGAACAGATGTCCTTTTGTATGAATGTACAACATTTGGGTATATACCTAAGAGTGGAATGCTGGGTCTTGTGGTAGACTGATTACCATTTCCTGAGGAATTTCCATACTGATTTCCAAAGTGGCTGTACGAGTCGGCACTCCCACCAGCAGTGGAGGAGTGTTCCCTTCTCTCCACATCCTCTCCAGGATAAACTGTCATTTGTGTTTTTGATTTTAGCCATTCTGACAGGAGTAAGATGGTATGTCAGAGTTATTTTGATTTGCATTTCCCTGATGGCTAAGGATGTTGAGAACTTTCTCAAGTGCCTCTCAGCAATTTTAGACTCCTCTATTGAGAATTCTCTATTTAGTTCAGTTCCCCACTTTTTAATTGGATCCTTTGGTATTTTGGACACTTGCTTCTTGAGTTCTTTGTAAATTTTGGAGATCGGCCCACTGCCAGATGTGGGACTAGTAAATATCCTAGTAAATATCTGTGGGCTGCCTTTTTGTCTTGCTGACTGTGCCCTTTGCCTTACAGAAGCTTCACAGTTTCAGGAGATCCCATTTATTAACTGTCGATCTCAGTGTCTGTGCTACTGGTGTTACGTTCAGGAAGGGGTCTCTTCAACCAATTCGTTCAAGAGTAACTCCCACTTTCTCTTCTAAGAGGTTCAGTGTGGCTGGATTTATATTGAGGTCTTTGATCCATTTGAACTTATGTTTTGTGCATGGCAGTAATAATGAATTTTAAAAGTATGTTTTAATTGAAATAGAATTCCATCTTGGTTCCCCCTCCTTTTCTGCCTTTCAACCTGCCCTCCTGAAACCTTCCCTTGAACTCCAGTCACAACCCACCCCCATCCTCATGTTGATAGCTTATTTTTCTTTGATTTTTTGTTATATACATACATGTATATGTGTGCATATGTATGTATGTGTGTATATGTACAAATACATATAAAAACATCATGCAAAGTTCATTCTTGTTGGTGGTGTATATATTGTTTAAACGTTAACCACACTG